GGCCAGAGAAATGATTTCCAGTTAAAGGAGACTAAGAGACATGACACTACCAATTTGTGCTCCTGAATTTGATCCTTTCTTTAGGATACACTGTTAGGATGACTTAGGAGTACATGTCCATTTTAGAAAAATATTACATCGCACATTATGATATTATTATGGAGACAGAACGATAAAACACTGTGTTAAAATGTTAGTATTTGTGAATTCTAGTGAAAGTCAACTTGTACTATTTTCACAATATTTCTATACCTTTTTGTGGTTGTTAAATTATATTTGGTATATGTTGACTTGTATTTGAAAGTTTATTATGCTTGAAATCACTTGATGTTGTCACAGAACATGATCAGCAATTACCTTTCCAGCCTTACATATATAAAATAGAGAAAGAAAACATGAACCTGAGGCCACATAGCAGAAGAGAGATTAAGTGTGCCTTGGCTGGAAGCCAGAGATACTTTCTGTGGTGACTTGGATGACATATTTGCACCAGTAATCTTGTATAGTTGAGTTCTAATAGGAAGAGATTATTCGAGTATGTGTGTATGAAATATGCTGCCAGGACTAAATATAAGATGCAGTGGAAAAAGATTGGGAGACATCTGACTGGAGGGGGAGGAGAAATTTATAGCACTAGAGAAACTGGTGCTTCAGTGTAGTTAGCCTTCATTTTTATCTGGGAAAGGGCTGACCCACTGTTAGTCCTTCAGTGAAGTTGCTTGTGGCATCATTTCATGAGTGATGTACAAATGCGAATTCATTAAAGTTGGATTGAGGTTTAGGTCTGACAATGTGAAGATTTCAGAGCTTCTACTTTGTTTTGGGTGTTGATGACCATAAGGTATTGACCTTCAGAACTGGAAATCTACTGTCTTTAACCTGATTTTTTTTCACATACAAGTTGTTTAAGTTTGGGCAAGGCACCTATCTTCTTCCTTTCAGTAACAAAGTGAGAAAACATACACTGTTGTCCTACCTGTGATAAAATTACATGAGGTTTGAAAACTACAAAGCTATAAAAACAATAATATCTGGGTTAATCTTTGGGGGAATTTTTGGCAAGTGATTTTTATTTTATATTAGAAATTAAAAGGAATATCTTGTTCATGTGGCCAGGATTCAGTATCATATAAGCTATAATCATAGCGACCCAAAAGAAAAGTCTATGCATATGAGAGAAAATGTATATGTTTCGTAAACCAAAAAGAGAGAAAAGTGCACAGGAAATTAAAATGTTAAAACAAATTTAGATAGTGAAAGGGAGTGACATACGCAAGATGGCAGGATAGAACTTTCCACACTTGCTGTCCCTCAGCCCCACCCCCCACATAAACATCAATTTGAACAATTATTCCTATACCATAAACAAAAAACCTTCACAAGAGCTAAGGAATCTTGGTGATAGATTACAGTAGCCGGTATAGCACAGAAATAAGAAAAGATACTTGGAAGAAAGCAAGAGGGCTAGTTACACATTAGCTGCATCACTTGTCTCCCAAGCCCCAGCAGCACAGTACAAATAGAGATGCACCCATGTGAAAGAGAGTGAGGTGAGCACCTGACTTTACTGTGGCCCCCAACACTAGGCCCCTCCCCAGTGAATGTAGCTGCAGGCCAGCCTTCATGGCCTCAGAGCCCAGACCAGTTCCCAAGGACCTAATTTCCAGGCCAGCAGATGCAGTCCCAACCTCCAGGTTGGTCCCCACGGACCTAGGCTCTAGTAGACTCAGAGTCTAGGCCCCCCACAATAGATATCACCCTATATCTCATATCTGAATATTATAAATCTAAGATGACTGATGTTGAGGAAGATGTGAAGAGAAAGGAAACTTTTCATACTGCTTTGGGGAACATGAATTAGTCCAGCCATTATGGAAAAATGAGTTTCCTCAAAAAATTTAAACTAGAACTACCATGTGATCCAGCAATCCAACTTCCAGGTATATATCTAAAGGAAATAAAACCAGTATATCAAAGTAAATGAAATCAGCATGTCAAAGAGATATCTTCACTTTCATGTTCATTGCAGCATTATTCAAAATAACCACTACATGGAATCAATAAAAGTATCCATCAAGGGATAAATGGATAAAGAAAATGTTATATTACATATGTGTGTATGTGTGTGTATATTTAATATATACACACACAGATATATAAAATACTATTCATCCTTAAAACAAGAAGGCAATCTAATATTTCTGACAATGTGGTAAACCTGGAGGACACTAGGCTAAGTGAAATAAGTCAAGCACAAAAAGAAATATATTACATGTCCTCACTTATATGTGGAATCTTAAAAAATTCAACTCATAAAAGATAAGAATTATAGAATGATGGTTGCCAGGGGTTAGTGGTGAGGAAGAATATGAAAATGGGAGCATATTGTCAAAGAATACTTATAGAAATACGTGTTTTTATATGTATAATACATATAGAAAAAGTTCAAGAGATCTATTGCACAACATGGTGACTATACTTGACAAAGTGTTGAAAATTGCTAAGACAGTAGAACTTAAATGTTCTCACTACAAAAAAGGATAGGTATGTGAAGTGATAATATGTAAATTTGCTTGAGTAATTTCACAATATATGCTTATATCAAAACATTACATTATACACCATAAATATTTATACTTTTGTCAATTATACCTTAATAATAATGGGGAAAAATTAAGATTTCCATTGTGCAAGATGGCTCAAAAGACTAAGCTATGTTCTTTAAGTTTTTAAAAATTGGTTTTTAAAGTCATGTTTAACTCTATGTAGCCCCAATTATTTACTAAAAGTTCTTTTGCATCCTTGGTTTTCCATTTCTTGGGTAGTCAGTTAAGGACAAAGGCATAGACTAGGTTTATGCCATGGAGAAAAAAATACTGTTGATATTTGATTGCATTTTTACCTGGCTATTTTTTCCAAAAGTGAATGGTATATAGACAGACTGTGTTTTATTCATATCGTTACTAAGAGCTCTGTGACCTTGTGTGCTCAATAAGTGCAACTAGAGTGAGTGGTAAATGATTGGTTAATGGATAAATGAATGAATGAACCATTTGTTAAGAGACACTCCATTATACTGTTACTATTTTTCATGCCTAGTTGAAGACAGAGGTAAAGTCACCAGCACAGAAAGAAGACAAAGTCAGCAGAATTTATGTAATTGCAAGCCACACAGGACATTGGAAGAAGTTTGGAGATGTGTTTTATTTTAATAGTCTAGGAAGTAGTGTTTGAATCAATCATATCTAAATCTTAAAGGACTCAAAAGCTACAACTGAAACTTGAATTACAAACAAAACTTAGCATTGCAAATATGTTACTTTATACCGAGTTGTCCTTCAGTCATTATTCCACTTCAGTTGAATATGACTGCCAGTTTCAAAGGTTATATACATAGGACAATTATGTATTATGTGTGTTACTAATATAGGCAACAAAACATTGATTTTTATTGAAAAATTACATTTCTTCATTTGGAAAATACCTGAACTAACATTCATAATGTACTTATTAACCAAAAATTTTCAATTCAATCAAGTTAAAAAAAAGAAAAATAAACTGATATATTTCAGATAAAAGCTCTTATTACAAAACTGTTTCAATATATTTTAAGTAATTCTTTCATAAGCTGATTGACTTCAAGACATTTTCAGAGCCTACTTCTCTATCTGTCTCAAGTGTTTTCCATAGCGCCTTAGGTTATTTAGGTGCTCTAAGCACGTATCTCACCTAAGAATACCCAACCTGTGAAAAACATTTCTTTAGAAGCTTTTTCAACCTCCTATATACTTCTTTTTTTTTTTTTTTTTTTTTTTTTGAGTTGGAGTCTCACTCTGTCACCCAGACTGGAGTGCAGTGGCCACTCCCGGCCACCGCAACCTGGACCTGCTGGGCTCTGGCGATCCTTCCACCTCAGCCTTCCAAGTAGCCAGAACTACAGGCGTGCGCTACCACGCCCGGCTGATTTTTTGACTTATTGTAGAGATGAAGTCTCGCTGCCCAGGCGGGTCTCGAACCTGCAGGCTCAGGCAATCCACTCACCTCAGTCTACCAAAGGCGCGGGATTACAGGCAGAGCCACTGAGCCCGGCTTCCTATATACTTCTTATAGCCTAGCAAAATAGAGGAATTTGAGATGATTTCTGCTTCACTGCTTCTAAGTCTTTCTTGCTTCTCATAAAACTTATTTCTTTACTCTTGATAATAGGATACTAAAAAATATAGACCAAAAGTCTTCCCAATATTTGCTATGCAACAAAGGATAACAATATCAGGAAAAAAGATTTAAGTATTCACTATGTCGTTTCTTTTTTTTCTTTTTTTTGAGTTGGAGTCTCACTCTGTTGCCCAGACTGGAGTGCAGTGGCCGCTCCCGGCCACCGCAGCCTCGACCCGCTGGGCTCCGGCGATCCTTCCGCCTCAGCCTTCCAAGTAGCTGGAACTACAGGCGCGCGCTACCACGCCCGGCTAATTTTTTGATTTATTGTAGAGATGAGGTCTCGCTGCCCAGGCAGGTCTCGAACCCACGGGCTCAGGCAATCCACTCACCTCAGCACTGTCTTTTTAACTAAACTGAAGATAGATGACAAAAGTATTGTGCTTAACATGAAAGAAATTAAAAGACATATTCTTGAGAGTTTTTAAATTGAGAAGAACATATTTCCATAGGAATCATAAACTGCTCTTTTATCAATATATATAACAAATTACAGGCCTTGTTTTTAATTGAGTAGGTTACTTTGAATTCATTAGGTTTGTGTCATGGAGAAAAAAAATACTGTTGATTTTGATCATATTTTTACATGGCTGTTTTTTCCAAAAGTGAATGGCATATAGACAGACTGTGTTTTATTCATATCGTTACTAAGAATTCTTTGACCTTGTGTGCTCAATAAGTGCAACTAGAGTGAGTGGTAAATGATTGGTTAATGGATAAATGGATGAATGAACCATTTATTAAGAGACACTCCATTATACTGTTAATATCACAAATGTACGGGCTCACACCAATCCCATTCGTCTCTTTGCTGCCCCTTTTACATTTTTGTTTCTGAGAGTGTATATTAGTGGGTTGAGGCTAGGTGTAACCACAGTATAAAACAGGGCAATGAACTTGCCTTCATCTTGAGAATTTCTTGATGGTGGCCTGAGATATATGCACACGACTGGAAGAAAAAAGAGAGATACAACCATAAGATGGGCTCCACATGTCCCAAAAACTTTCTGAAGCCCAACAGATGATTTCATTTCCAGTACGGTCCTGGCAATGGTACTATAGGATGTGAGAATGAGGACAAGAGGTATGAGAACAAAAATAGAGCTCGTGACCATTAGAGTCAGCTCATTTGCACGGGTATCGACACAAGATAAATGCAGCAGTGCTGGAACTTCACAAAAGAAATGATCCACTTGGTGATGTCCACACCGGGGTACCTGGAAGGTAAAGAAGGAATGAAGCGCAGAGTTTGTAAAACCACTTACCCAAGAAGCCACAGCCAACAGGTGGCAGAAACGAGGGTGCATGATGATAGTGTAATGCAAAGGTCTACATACAGCTGCATAACAGTCATAGGACATTACCACCAGTAGGACACACTCTGTGGTTCCCAGTGAAAGGACAAAGTAAAGCTGAATCATGCATCCAGCATAAGAGATGGTCTTCTCTGGGTCCCAGAAGTTGATCAGCAGCTGAGGGATAGAGCTGGTGGCATAGCAGAGATCCAGAAAAGAGAGGTTTGAGAGGAAGAAGTACATGGGAGAGTGGAGACGGATGTCCAGGTATGAAAGGATGATGATGAACAGGTTCCCTGTCAGTGTCATCAAGTAGAAGATCAAGATAACCACAAAAAGAACTACTTCCAGATGAGGCCAATTAGAAAATCCCAGTAGAATAAAGTAGCCCTCAGAAAGCGTTGACTTTTTCCATCATCTTTCATTTCCTGTTACCTGAAGGGGAAAAAAAATCACATAAACTCAAAATAGTAAGGAAAATGCTCCAAAAATCATGGAGACACATAAAAAGAAGCAAAAGCCAGTTTGGACAAGAGCCTGCCACTATTCAATTGTAGGGCAATTTGAGTATTAAGATAAACTATGGTAGTAATTTATCAAACAAAATAAAAATCCTCAAGATAATACTGATATAAAAAATAAATAACTGATGAAAGCAAAGCTATTTCTTACAGTAGATTCCTAATTAATAAATATAGGGAGGATGATAGAGCTAGAAAAACATAAATGGATGCAAAAATTAGTGGACAAAAATTTTATCAAGAACAGTATATTTACATAGTCCAAAATATCTCCTCACAAATTATTTGTTAATTACAAAGTGAAAAATGATAAAGTTTATAGTACAAATAGCTGATGGACTCTACTATAGCCAAGTGATTTTACTGATGTTAAGATCAGCAAGATTTGGACAAATCAACATCATGTGCCTGTTGATATGATGCTCTGAAAAGGAAATTATGTCACTTCAGCAATATTCTTGCCCAGTCTAATCCTAATAATTAAGATATATGGCCAGGCTCAGCCTGTAATCCCACGCCTTTGGGAGGCTGAGGTGAGTGGGTTGCCTGAGCCCGCGGGTTTGAGACCCACCTGGGCAGGCAAGACCTCATCTCTACAATAAATCAAAAAAAAATTAGCTGGGCGTGGTAGCGTACGCCTGTAGTTCCAGCTACTTGGAAGGCTGAGGCAGAAGGATCGCCGGAGCCCAGCAGGTCGAGGCTGCGGTGGCCGAGAGCGGCCACTGCACTACAGTCTGGGCGACAGTGAGACTCCAACTCAAAAAAAAAAAAAAAAAAAGATATATGAGACAAATTCAGACTGAGACAAAAATATCTTGCCTGTACTCTCCAAAAGTATCAAGTTCAATGAAGACTAATAAAGGCTGAGGAAAGGGTGCAGGTTAAAGGAGAAGAATGAAATCTAATATCTAAACATGTGATCCTGGATTTTTTTTAATGCCAACATTATGAAGACAAAGAAATCTGCATATGGACTATAGATTAGATAGTAATATTGCACCCATACTAAATTTGCTGGTTTTGGTAACTGCACAAAGATAATTTTAAAAGTCTTTGTTATTAGAAGAAAAATGTCAAAGTATCCAGGGATGAAGGAGCATGGCATCTCCAGTTTACTCTCAAATAGTTCAGAAAAAGAAATAGAAGAAACATGAATAGTTAGATGCTATAATAAAACTTTTCAGGAGAAAATGTAAATAAATGCTCAATCTGGTTAAAGGATAAATGTTAGTTCTTTGTACTACTATTTTTGCAACTCTTCTTTAAGTTTGAAATTATACTATAATAGAAAGTTACAAAAAGTAAATACAATATTTTAAAAATTTTATCCACATATTTGTCATATTATGAAAATAAATAAATTATTAACTATTGAGTTATTCTCAATGATTTTAGGATGACATCTAGGTAGATGATAATTTTTTAAAGCTTCTACCCTAGCCAAGGAAGACAATTTCCATAAAACAAATAAGCTCTGTTAACATATGAGTAACATTATTTTTTTTTTAGTATTTTCAGATTATTTCCATAAATGTAATTATAGAACACATAACAATTGTGATTTCAATAATCTTACATATAATGTAAAGACATGCTAAAAATATAAAATTTCATAGTGATTTCAACATTATGTAGGGTGAAAATTGCTTAGTTTCAATTAGATAGAAATGTTATCTTCTGATTTATTTACTTACCCTCAAATTTTATTTCTTTCTTTTTGTCTTTTTCTTCTTTTCGTTTTTGAGTTGGGGTCTCACTCTGTCACTCAGGTTGGAGTGCGGTGACATTCACAGCTTACCACAGCCTCAACTTCCTGGGCTCAGGCAATTCTTTCAACCTCAGCCTTCCGAGTAGCTGGAACTACAGGTGTGTGCTATCACACCCAGCTAATTTTTGGATTTTTTGTAGAAGCAAGGTCTTGGTATGTTGCCTAGACTGGTCTCAAGCTCCTGGGCTCAAGCAATCTTCTTGCGTTGGCCTCCCAAATTGCTGGAATTACAGGTATGAGCTTCCATAGCCACCCTCAAAGCTTATTTCTAAAACGAAAAACAAAATATGAATATAGATACCAACTAAAGACACACAGGTACATGCACATTAATTTGTGAGTATTCATGGTATGAACAAAGCTAAAAAATATGGGTAGAACAGTGATAGAATGCTTCCTAAAGCATGTGTTAATATAATGGAATTTGAAAAAAGAAAGCTTTAGGGAATAAAAGATAGGAATTGAGAAAACAAAGAAGGAAAGAAAAGTGTGAGGGGGTAGAAAAATGGAGAGGAAACTAATTGTAGTACTTAGTGTTGCAAGTGTGTATGTTACAAGACTGAGAAATCTGAATCACAAAGGCTTGAGAAACATTTCCCACATGATTTCTTTTTCTCTAGGACAATAACTGAGACAGTATTTAAATTCTGGGCATAAGTTATTTAACAAAACATTAAATGACTGTTCATCATTTAATATATTGTACCTAGTGAATTTGATATTATTCTTTTGTTAAAAATAAAAACAAGCTGGGCTCGGTGGCTCAGCCTGTAATCCCGCGCCTTTGGGAGGCTGAGGTGAGTGGATTGCCTGAGCCCGCAGGTTCGAGACCTGCCTGGGCAGGCGAGACCTCGTCTCTACAGTAAATCAAAAAATCAGCCGGGCGTGGTACCGCATGCCTGTAATTCTGGCTACTTGGAAGGCTGAGGCGGAAGGATCGCCGGAGCCCAGCAGGTCAAGGCTGCGGTGGCCGGGAGCGGTCACTGCACTCCAGTCTGGGCAACAGAGTGAGACTCCAACTCAAAAAATAAATAAATAAATAAAATAAAATAAAAACATTAAATGGCTGTTCATCATTTAATATATTGTACCTAGTGAATTTGATATTATTCTTTTGTTAAAAATAAAATACATTTTATAAATAGTTATGGCTCTTAGGTGATTATTTTTCTACCATAGCTTTTCAATCTTTCACAGAAAACATTAATACTTATTTCTGTTATATAGTTATTGTGATAGGCATAGTAATCCACCATTTAAATATCCCTTTTTCTCTCTGAATTCTTTGCCTATGCCAACTTTGCTACATCCCTTCCACACCCTTCCTTCCAATGCCAATTCATTCTCTCATATTTCCTAATAAGCTGTGGCACAAGAAGACAAAAATCACAGTAAAGCCACCTCTGCTTACCTCTTGTGAAGGTCTCTTAATAGTTCATGGTCTATAAAATCAACTTTCAAAAAAGATATCAGGAGTAACCATTTGGCTGATTTCAGCAAGAAAGTTAGGAGCATTCAGTTTGGTCCCAAGATTATAAGACTGACTCAGACCATATAACTCTTAATAAAATTGGTAATGTGAATAATCATTAATCAGTTGTTACACTGATTTAGATTACTTTCTACAACTTGCAACCCATCCAGGATAATCAGTAAGTGCATTTTTTAAATAAATTTTTTACAGGCTATAACTGAATCAAAAAAACAACAATAGTCAAATAGTACATCATGAAAATCATTCTACTTATGGTCACTGCCTTTTGAGGAATAATGAAAATTTCCCAAGAGATTTTTTTTTAATTTCTCTAGAATGGGAGATAATACATCATGAGAAATATGAACCCAAATGTTGTAGTTACTTCCTCTGATACTGATATAATTTTTTACTTTCTTAATCAACTGCCTCAATAACTTAGTACATTAACTAAAACAAAGTGGCAGCTGTGCAATATCATTATCTGTCATATGACTAATCTTTCAGCATTCTTATATAGAATGGTAAGTAAGAAATACGAGATAAGGGAAAAATACCAGATGCAAGTTGAAAAAAAAATGTTAGGAGTTTTTTTTACTTTTCTTCTTGTTGGAAGAGCAGAAAATAAAGGCCTTATCAAAAGTTTTTATGGGCTGTGGGTAAATTATCCTATCTATTTTTGGAAATCTATTTTTGGAGGAAAAAGTGGTGTCTTTTATCCATCCCAATCACTGGCCAACATTTTTTTATCATTTTAGTTTTTTATACTTTTACCTAGTGCTGAAGCAGTACTAGAACAACTTCTTTTACTCTGTTCTTCCTGTGTCTGTCCATATCCTCTACATATTGTCTTCCCAATCTATACACTCATCATGTGTAAACTTATCTGATCTCTGGTTTTGATCTTTATGAAATCACCAACATAAATGGCTGCCTACCCAATATATCCCCAAGACTATAAAGTCGATTAATCTACTACATCAAATTAGGAAACAAGAGTCTGAATGTAACTATGATTATCATTTCTACAGAAGAAAAACCCTTGAGTTTACTAAAAAAAAAGTTTTAGATAAAAGGATAAATTTATTAGAGCATTCAGTGTATCAAGGGAAAGATCCCTTATCATAGAGTAAATGAGGCCTTTTGGAAAAAAAGAATGCGACTTGCTCTCTTGATTGGGGTCACTGGGAAGGTTAATCCCAAAGTGGCAATTAATCCCCTTCAAGGAGTTGTCCTGGTTAGAACAGTTTCTCAGCAATACTCTCAGCATGACACCACACTTTTGTATTCAGATGACAAAGAATCTACAAACCAACAAACCATAACAGAAAAATGAAATACTTTGAGTTGGATTTATAGGGAAAGGAATGGGTTGTCTTGTGTTATCTAGAATTTCTTCCCCAATTCCTTATCATGTTTTGGGCCCAATTTGAGAGATAACTTGTCAAGTAGTCTAATTTGAGGGTGGAGGAAGCGATAAAGCATAAAAAAAAAACAAAAACATAAAGATTATAACATATGTCTCATTAATTTGAGTTCTTTATGTCTGTCTGACATCTCTAAAATTCAAGGCCAAGATCAGCCATGCAAAAGTGTTGAAAATTATCTTTGAAGACCATTTAATTTATTACTCAGAAATTTACTACCAAAGCTCAGAAAACT